ATATCTGTTGTACTTGTCCTTTCGAATTCTCGAATAGCACGTGGCCAGCTCTCTTTCTAATTTCTTATGCAATTAGAACTTATTATACGAGCTGCAATCAGCCTTCAGGTCAGGAAACTCTACTGAAACAGCCCTGATCGGACAACGCGTAAGTCGAGCAGTGTAGATCGCTACGCATTATTTTTTGTTTATTGTTTCTCGTGCAGTAGTGCTAACTGCAGTAAAGTGTTGTGTGCGCTTTCTTTGCGTCTTTACATAACGTTACGTAACGTAGCATGTATTTAAACCGTATTGTTCATCGTAGTTTGTGCAATTTTTTCAGTGTAGTTTTGCTCAGTGCAGTTTCGCAAGTGTAGGTTTTGTATATTTGTTCTTTCGCTTCGTGCAGCTCGTTCGCCACTAGGCAAGAGTGGCAACATCCCAACAAATGTAAGTTTTGTATTATGTAGTTTTCATCGTTGTTTTCGTAGTAGCGTTCCTTGTGTATTTTGTTTAGTTTATATTGTAATAGGTTTTCGTTCGCTGTTTTATTTGCAGTTTTAACCGTGTTGTTTCGCTGTATCGTGTCGTGTNTGGATACGATGGCATAAGCGTACGCATGCTCGAGAAAATTGTACCAGTGTTTGCAAACCCTTTATGCAAACAACCTATTCTTTCAATATCGTCAGTTTCCCCTCAATCATTGGATAATAGCTAAAGTCACGCCACTGCACAAGCGACGAGCAGGAAATGATATCATGAACAGCTATCGCTCAATATCTGTTGTACTTGTCCTTTCGAATTCTCGAATAGCACGTGGCCAGCTCTCTTTCTAATTTCTTATGCAATTAGAACTTATTATACGAGCTGCAATCAGCCATCAGGTCAGGAAACTCTACTGAAACAGCCCTGATCGGACAACGCGTAAGTCGAGCAGTGTAGATCGCTACGCATTATTTTTTGTTTGTTTTTTGTGCAGTAGTGTTAACTGCAGTAAAGTGTTGTGTGCGCTTTCTTTGCGTCTTTACATAACGTTACGTAACGTAGCATGTATTTAAACCGTATTGTTCATCGTAGTTTGTGCAGTTTTTTCAGTGTAGTTTTGCTCAGTGCAGTTTCGCAAGTGTAGGTTTTGTATATTTGTTCTTTCGCTTCGTGCAGCTCGTTCGCCACTAGGCAAGAGTAGCAACATCCCAACAAATGTAAGTTTTGTATTATATAGTTTTCCTTGTTGTTTTCGTTGTAGCGTTCCTTGTGTATTTTGTTTAGTTTAAATTATAATAGGTTTTCGTTCGCTGTTTTATTTGCAGTTTTAACCGTGTTGTTTCGCTGTATCGTGTCGTGTCGTTTCGCCATGTCAAAATTGTGCTAGTTAGAATTAGTCGCCCGTGCCAGTAATAAACAGTAACATTATTTAACAACCTGAGCTGGATCCCCTTTCATGATGAAGCGCATCTAAAGCGATGTGAATTGGCCTATAAACGGAGAAACGGTACTCTACCCGTCTATTCAAACGCATCTCCGAACAAAAACTCCGATGCTCACTAAAGAATCACGAGGATGCACCTTTGCCGTGAGAACTGCAAAGGATTGGAACAATTTGGCTCGATCGCTAAAGACAAAGAAGTCTTTAAAATCATTTAAAACTGAATAGTGGAAAACAAGACAATTCTCAGAAGATGCAGGGATCGTTTGACATGAATTAATGACAATAGATAGATGTTTGCATGCTCTTCGCTTTAAATCAATTTGTCAAGTCATCAAATTCTAGAAATATTTGTTTTATTCCTATTGTAAATAGCATCTATTGCTAATGTAGTTTTTATCATTTGTATTTTGTGTTTGAGTGCTACGAGTTTATCTGTAAAGTTAGGCACTGTTACGTGTCGCCCCCATAAAATAAAGTGTCTCTCTCCTGGTATGTTTCTCGCTCTCTATACATACTCCATAAGCGAAACTCAAACAAGACAACCGTTAAAGACGGTAATAACAAAAGATATGCCAATATTGAGCAAAGAACCTCAGCAACTCAAGACTGAAATTAGAGAGCTCTAGAAGCAACTGCGTCAAGTTTCTTTAGCCTATTCATCTCTGTAATAATAACTAAGTAGATCTTTTGAAGTTAATTGACCCTCCTGGAATAGCAAATCTGCTAACTAATAGTACGTGTGACCAGGGAAAATACAAACTTAGCAAAAATCAACACTTACAACAATTTTAGTTTTTTTAAATTTATGTTTTTCTTTACTGTAATTATTTTGTTTCGTTTATCTTATGTATCTCTACTCTCCACCACCTTAATCATGATTTGTTCTACATAGACATTGTATTTATCGATAAAGGTATGGTTTTAGCTCAGCTATCAGCTAAGTGATCTCTTACCCTTTTCCTCTTCGTTTTATTTTTTCTATAGATGTCTTCTCCTGGTTTGCTGAAATGATGGAGAAGGAAATCTATGAATACGCTTATCATATAAGGGCCAAAATTTCTGAATTGTGATTGGTCAAGACAGAGGGCATTTTTTCTTAATTTTTGTAATTGCCCCTGGCAAAATTACTTGAAAATGATTGGCTGGAAATCGCTTAGCAACGGCTGCCAAGGTAAAGAAATTTCTGTTTGTTTTGAACAATGGCGTCCCGTTTTGCGCGAGATCGGTAAGAAAACATTTTGCCCCTTATATTATAAACAAGTAATCACTCCTCGTAAAATTAAGGATTAATATCACTTGTGTTTTCGGAAGTTGCAGAAATTGCCCTCGTCGCTGCGCGACTCGGGAAATTTCAGCAACTTCTGAAAACACGCGTGATATTAATCCTTAATTTACTTGGCCCTATGCGATTACCTGTACTTACACCGAATGAGTTCAGCAAAGACAGTGGCGAAGCTTATGATATCAGACCAAATTGCCCTCCACTCGGTTCAATTGCAATTATAAATCAAATCAACTTCTATTCCGAGTGACGTTTACGTCAACGCTTATGTGTCAGTTAGCCAACGTCCAAAATAGTTTTTGAAAAATATCTGAATTGTATTAAAAAATGATGAGAGGAATAAAATGTCATCTTTGGTGTATTTTTGGACGCGTTGGCGAAACGGCCGGAATTCTGACAGAGCGGAACGTGCTAGGATGGCATCTTCAAAACTGGTGGGAAGGTTAAACGTAGGATACTGAACGTGTTCATTTATTTTGTAAGAGATTGTAGAAATGAAAATGAAAATTTACTTTTCACGGATAAAACTACGAGACATTCATGGTTCTTCAAAATTGACCCAAGCCTTCCATCTGCTTTCAAATTTAAGGCAGCTGAGGGTGCAATGTCGATAAATCAGATTCCTAGTTCTTAGTAACCTTGACACAAGAATGAGCAAATAAACAACTGATAAAATACAGTAACAGATAATATAAGGCTTACCTTTAACCAAGGAAATATGTTCTTCCACAGCTCAACCTTTCGCAGTCCACCACACGAACAAGAAACAAAAAAAGTTAGGCACGCCACAGATTGCAGACTTCGTTTGTGAGATTTCGATGAGGGACGTGGGGTGAGAATGCTGGTTCATTAGGTTTGTTTTCCCGAAACCTTCACTAGGGAATTTAAGCAAACCACGATGGCGACGGCAACGAGAACGTG